GATGTGTACAACGTGTGTTTATAAGAGAAAAAGATGGAGTCGACGATAGAAAAGAAAAAGAAAATAAAGTACCATATAAGTAGACATCTATCGCATCGTCTTCTTTTATTTCGTCTGCTTGATCTATATACAATAAATCTTTGCTATTTCGATGACTGAATAGATAAAATTTCATCTTCTAAATAAAAGAAGATGCGAGATGTCTAGTGAAATATATTCGTCTTCTTTTATATCGACGACGCCATCTTTTATCCTCTTGTTATCTCTGCATCAGGTAGGCACCCGTATCAATATTTTACTGAAATACTGATGTCCAAAACAATTCTTTTAATAGTTTCAGTTAGCGTTTTTCACATTGAAGGAGGCGTTTTTGAGACTCGAGTCTAGAACAGGAAATGCAGTAAATTTGATTCCCTAAAAATCATGCGCCAAAACGAAGTTTCTAGAGGCTGATCTTCAGCGTAGAAATCGTTTTTTTGTGATTTAATCCTGAAGATCGAATTGTATGAAGTCGGGTTTGCCAGATCAAAATTAGGAAATTAAATTTGACGCGACAATAGAAAAGCACTCGAATAATATTACCCAGAAAACAATCCAAGTACTTGCAGTTTTACTTGACAAGCGCTTGCACAAGTACTTGTCAAGTGAAAAATCAAGTACTTGCACGCTGGACAAGTACTTACAAGTAAATTTACTTCTGGAAAAAAGACAAGTACCGGCTTCATTACGCCAGCGAAGTACTTGCTCCAAGTACTTGGCCCCAAGTACGTTCTCTAGGGAATCATCAACAAAAATGCAACAAATGAATGATTCGTCGTCAAGTGAAACTGATCAGTCTTCCTCCATCTCGGTCTCATCAAAAGAGTCGACTGATGAGGTAAATAACTAACAATATAACATAAAGCATCTGCATCTGATTTCTTGTACCGCGCTAGGAAATTTCATCCAGCTCGAACCCTTCGAACGAAAGACTAACATCATCATCAACAAGAAAAAAAGTAGCGGTTCCGAAGAGTATGAATATGTAAGTTTTGAAGACAATTTCTCCTTCTACCTTATGTAATTCCATCATTAACAAACTTTTACCATTAACATTCGGTTGAGCTTCTCACAATGTGTCTTATTATCTGTTCTAGTTTGACTCAGCCTATTACCAACGTAAGAAGCAAAGAAAGTTAGATAGAAGAAAAAAAACTCGACAACGAGAAAAAAGAGAGAAAAAACATTGGACACGATCGTTTTGAAAAATGGGCCGCATTCGATACAACTCAAATTTAGAGTGTATGCAAACGAAACAAAAGTAAGTCTGTAGTTGATTCTCTTTTCGATCGCGAGACAAAGGAAGGAATGTCATGTTTATAGACATGCTCTTACAGGGCTTCAATACCAATGTTATAACATTGGTATTGAAGCACCGTAAGGGTACAATTCAGGTCGTAAGCAGTTGTCTTTACACAAAAGAGTTCAACGAGTCACAACCAAAACGTTTCAACACATACATCACATTACTCGTGCGTTCTTATTTAAAACCTATTGTCTACATAACTCTTAGGTGCCCATCCGCTTTTCACTTGAAAACAAGAAAATTGTTGTGACAAGCTCAGTTTCCGATCCAATTCATTTAAAATTCACTTCCACTCTACCACTGGATATAATCATACAAGACAAACGCAGCACAGAAGATTATAAAAGAATTAAAAGAATTATAAGAAGATTAAAAATTTCTTAAATTTATTAAAACGAACAAAGCTGGATATTAAAAAAAGCGACGAAACGGAATTCATCTAAAAACTTTCAAAGGATACCAGAAAATGGGGCGTAAAATATGGTATGCTGTTCGGAATCGACGAAGTCACTCCTTATGTTCACGTATTAAGCGCGCATATTGGAGAGTTTTATAAAATCTTCGAAAACTTGAACAAATTTACGATGCAAGGGGTGGAAAAACTAAACGATGTAATGACACAAGATTATTTTAGGGGAAGTAATAAAAAAGGGGACTATTTTACTCAAATATTAAGACAACGCATATGTGAGTTATTATTATCGTTATCCGCTAGAACGTTAGAAGAAATACGGTCGCAGCTAGATAAAACATCACGATTCAATGCCGATAGTGCATCCTCAAAGGATGATGACGAAGAAGATGATATATCGCTAAACCTTCCGGCTGTTTTAGGGCTTATATAATCAACTATATTCTTATCCGTTCTATTGAACTTCATAGGTACTACTACTAACTAGTTAGTCATACTTTTAGTATGCTGATAATCACCAAACTCTTTAATTTCTTACCAGTGTCTCTGATTACGTCCATCAAAACAATTAATAAACACATAATTTGACTGTATCTGAATAAATATTCAAAGGACCTCGCCGTGTAAGTAACGAAATCTGCCACCCTTCCTACACGAAAACGACCCATATATTCCAGTAGATTACATGACGAGGAACATTTTGAAAACAAAATTTTTGAGATTTGACCTCTCCCGCACCTCAAACGTACACCATCTTTCTCTACATATATTGATGTGGACTTGTTTTCTTGTTTTGATTATATCTCCTGACCGAAAGCTCTCTCGGAGATTTTGAGACCAGATTCGGATTCCTCATCGTCTCCTCTACCTGTCTAGCTATGTCTACTAATTTTTTAGACCACTTAAATAAGAGCGAAATAGGAAAAACTCAGAGAGGTTTTTTGTAACCGACATACTTGTTATACAAAAGTACTCATACCTCAGAAATGAAGAAGTCTACACGTTACCGGCTTTCAGAAATGATTACTCGTTGCTTGAGCTTCATTTTCATAAAAAAATTTTTCAAAAATAATCTCTCCAAAATATAACTTTTAACCATAGAATTCCAACCGATCAAATATAAGTTATACAAACATTGTATTTTTCACGAATGGTTGGATTTTTACTTACAAAATACGACTTTAGGAGTGTTCTATGAGATAGTTGAGCAGATTGACAAGTGTTATTTATTCCACTCGAGCCATCGATCAAGAGAATCAACCCAGTTCTCCCCCATCAAGCGATTCGATTCTCTCAAACGACATTCTTCGACAGATACAAATCAAAATTCTACTATAGCTTTAAATCGGCATTCGATATTCATTCTCACAGCGATTTTCTTCTGTCTTGTGTTTAACCACTTTTCACTTTCGTTGCAGCGTGAAGCGCTCTCGTTAGGACCTCTTGAATTTTTTCAAGATCCTTTTAGAACTCGCTGTCAATTTGTAAGTGATTAAGTAACACTTCAGAAGTACTACAATGCCGGATAAAAAGTGTGCTGGTTGCGGACGATGGAACGCAAAACGAGATATTTCTTCGGAAATTAATCTATGGTGTCATAAGCTTTTGGAAACAGAAGGTAAAACTCTGAACTTCGATCAAGGTGTCTATTTTTGTGGATCGTGTTTCATTCCGTACGATGACAGGAAAGAGGAAGGTCAAAAATTAGTAGCACAAGAAAAGCACGATGAACCAATGGAAACTGACCAGGTAGGCGGCGAGGAGAAGGAAGAAGAAGATCAACCGTTAAGCCTAACAGATGTACTGTATACCGGTTCTGGACACAAGCACTGTGCAATCAAAATGTCAAAAGCAGCACGTTTAGATCTGTTAGTTTTGAAACGGATGTACGCGCCACATGGTGTTCGATGCTGCAAATCTCATTTGAACAACAATCGTTTATTGCCACAATCAGAGATCAATATGGACACCAGACAACAGTGACTAGCTGCGTTGCCACCTGCAGAATTGGTAACTTTATTTGATGATGTTTTATCGCTAATTCAAGAAGCTACTCAGGCACCGCGACACGATTTCAATGACCCAGGTCTGGTGGACGAGGATTATGAGGCATGGACGGGATATGCAAAAGATTCGTTCGATGATATGTTTAATATAGCGGAAAGATCGATGCGATCTTCTTCGAATCGACACGTTAGAAATGCGGTGGCCATCTTTTGGATCAAAACGAAAACCAATTTATCGTTTAGACAAATCGGCTCTTTATTTAATATACGTGGTGATGGGTGCGCCTTTTAGGTGTACATCATTTAAGAAGAGATGAAGCAATTGATCACAATACGGCTTATTTCACGGTGTTCTTTGGTCAAACGGTTCAAATCATTTGGGACGGCGCATACTTCTACATAAATAAAAGCAGCGATCACTCATTTCAAAGAGCATCATACCCTGGTCAGAAACATCGGCATCTGCTAAAGTTCATGTCAATGTGTTTGCCCGATGGTTATTGTCTTGATATTCGAGGTCCATTTTATGGAAATAAAAATGATGCTCGTATTTCTGATTATATAGTTTCTACCAAAAAAGCACTCGAAGGATGGTGCGAAAACGACGACGTGATGATTTGCGATCGGGGTTTTAGAGACGTGGTCGACGTTTTCAGTGAACTGGGCTATGAACCCAAGATGCCAGTCTACCTTAAAAAAGGTCAAAACCAACACACAACCAAGGAAGCTAACGAATCGAGGCTAGTGACAAAAGTCAGATGGGTCGTCGAATCATTTCATGCAAGACTCAAAAAATTCCGTTTACTTTCAGAACGCATCGATAATCAACTAGTGCCGAAACCAGAACAATGTGTTAGAATTACCGCTGCTGCTTTGAATAAATACAGAGGCGCTATAGTACAGAACAAAAATAGTGAGGAAGATAAAAAACTCGCAGAACTGATGAAAAGCTACGTAGCACAAAACAATACTCTATTAGAACAAGTTGCGTCTGGCAAACTGAACGCACGTCAGAGATGGTTGCCAATCGGTTCAATTGATTTTGACTTTCCCGAGATGGATTTAGATGATCTTAGAAAACTATTTTTCGGCTGTTACCAAATTAAACAAACTACAACATATGCCGAAGAGCATTTAGATGTCCATGGCGACTTCGCTATTCAAGTTTCGCGTGAAAGTTGAATAGCGAAGCTCGACTCGGCTATTTTTTGTTAGTTAGTGCACTTACCTGCGCCCACAATGCCGAATGTCTGACATTTTGTGCACTTTTGCATGCCGAACCGAGCTGTAAAGTTCATCTGTTGTGAATACTCGGCTGTGGGATCAAGTAGTCGCTCGCGTTCGGTGGTCACCGATCTGCTTGTTAATTTATTTGACTGGGACTGTCGAAGTTTTTGAACGAGTACCGCTTGCGTTAGTGATGCTGATGATAAAGTATCTCCTTCCTTCATGACGGCTACCACCGTCAGTGCGGCAAGTAGAACAAGCTTCATTCACTTGTATACGATGAACCGAAATGAAATTGATTTGATTACTAATGGCTTTTTATGTGCCTTGCAGCAAAGGTGAAATAAATGCAGTTTCACCTGTATGGAGTTCAAACAGAAATAGTGTACTTTCGTTCTTTACTTCTGTTTTCCTCAGTTTTCTGTTGAAACCATAAAACTCATTGGAAAAAAGTCAGACTTGATGATATCAAGTGGCATGTTTCGTTCTCCTTCCTCTTCATAGTATTATCTACTTCCGTTTTTACTTTCCGGGAATTTTTGTTGGAATAAAAAAGTAATTCTGTGAGCAGAAGTCAGGCTCGATGACATCAAGCAAAAGAATCATGTTTCGTTACTCTTCTTCTCGGTATTTGCCGACTTCGCCTGACTGGCGTTAACGAAAGAAACGGAAGTAGTGAGACAAGTACAAAAAATGTCAGTACAAAAATTAGCGCAGTGTAGAAAAAACAAAATGAAAACGGCAAATGAGTCGCCGTCATTGCTCGGTAAGAGAACAAGCATCCTCAACTTTAAATTCTATATTTTGACTCATCGTAGGCAGACTATTCCAGCACATCATTGAACCACCGCTGATTGAACAGTGTCAGAAACAGCAATGGATGGAAAAAGAATCAAGACG